TTAATCATATGTATGTGCATTGAATATCATTTCACCATTACCTAGAGTTTATCATGACATACATGTCTTGCATTTCCAAGGAATCTCATTCTTTGAGTCTCGTGTTGAGCTTTCCCTCTTGAGATGGACACTGGTAGGAAAAACACCAATAGTTACAAGTTCATGATAACTACTCTGAAGTCTCTTCATGACTTGATTTCTAGGGCCACTCTAGCCAGTATACAGGTCTTCAACCAAGAGTATGGTATGATTTTGGGTATTCTCTACACTCCTAATATACCTTTTGAAAGAGGGATTCATACTCTCCTCCAGCTTTATGATCCTTGTTGTACCCCAGAATTTTCCCTCTCATTTCTCAAAGGATCATCCTGGACTCTCAGGTTTGCTTCTATCAAGTTCCAAGTCTTGAATTATCACTTTTCAAGGAAATCGTCCATAAGGGCAAAATGGTCAAAAACACACTGAAAAAATCAAACTTTGACTTTTAGATCAAAATCAAGTTTCAACAATTATATTTCATCAAGACATGAAACTAGTTCATCAAAATCAGGAGTCAGAAGTTACTTTGAAAAAAAATCAAATTTTCTAAACATTTAGAAAATTTTCTAAGTGTTAAGAGCATATGATACTTTAGAACTTCTGAGTCAGCCTCCACGCAAGCGTAGTCAGAAGTTGCAAATATGGTTCAGAACATATTCTTCAATCAGATCATGACTCTTCAGCCTCCACGCAAGTGCAGTCAGAAGTTGCAAACATGGTTCAGAACATAGTCTTCCATCAGAACGTGACTCTTCAGCGCATGGAGGTTACGTTTCTGATATTCTGCGATCAGAACATCACCAAATCCAAAAACCTCATTTAAATAACCTGCTTCTCTGCTACATCACAGTCCTGCAATCAGCTGCTGAACCAGTCCACTCCTGCACTTTCTCAAACCCCATATTTGCATCAAATTAGCATACGAAAACTGTGATTAAAAAGCAATGGAACAGTATACCAAAAAGGTTTGAATCCCAATTTTTCCCCGAAAAAACCACAACAAATCCACCTATAAATAAGATGCTCCATCACACGTTTAAGGGGATGGTTGGCTTTTGGAGAGAGAATCGTCAAAAGAGAGAAAAGAAAGCTGTGATGCCTCCATAAAAATCCAGAAATCCCAAATAGAAAACCAAAACCCTTGTTCTTCCCTTGAAGAAAAAGAACTTGCTATTTTCTCTTTCGTTGCTCTTGCTAACTCCAGAATATCTGAAGCCAGTAGCTCAAGTCCCAAACACACGCTCCAGCTTCAAGGTAAGTCTCCCTGACTCTGCATATTCTCATTCAGAACATCATTAAACATGTAAATATCATAGTATTAATGTTGTCCATATCGCTGCGTAAGTAGAAAAACTGAGGATCATAACTTCCTGATTAAGTCTAGACTCAGGACCAGGATCAGAACTTCCATAAACTATTGTGCTTTTATCATTCTGATTTGCTGTTTGCTGAAAACTGAATAAGTTATCTTTGTGCTGATTGATATAAGGAAAAAGTTGAAATGTAACACATAACTTCTGTTTTTCACTCACCATTCTCCCACATAGAACTTCCATGATCCACTCACTATTCTAACATACCACATAACTTCTGAGTTCTCCCTACATCTCAAACATACTGAACTTCTGATGTTTCCACTCACCGTTTTTACACACTCGGAGTTTCTGATTTTTACATGCTGATAATACACTGAATTTCTGGGATTTACTCACTATTTTAGTGTAATACAAAACTTCTGACTTGTGGTCCATTGTCTGAATACCACCCAGAACTTTTGTGTTTCCCTTCTAATGTTCCTTGCAGGACCCCAGAGTTTACCAACTCAGAACTTCTGACACCCACTGACGTCTCTTGCTGAGTCACATCGCTCTTGGCTTCAGAACTTCTGATTTCGTTTGTTGTGCTTGTAGAAGCACGCTAGTCTTATATCTCATTTATTTTCCTTTTTATCACTTTCAACATTAAAACTCTTTTCATCAATATAAAAAGGCATAAAAATATTTTCTTTTTTACTAAGCTAATTCATTCCTCTTTTTTATTCATCAACACAACAAAACCTTTTTTAAACAATGTCCGTTTTCTTTCTTGCATTATTTCAATATAGTTGTAATAAATAATTAGGATTTATTTTCTTGCAAACCCCCATTCGTAAATTTGTACACCCCATCCCCCTAATGATTGTAATAGCGTAGAATCCTTACTTTCCGCACTTTTATTGCTTTCATACGTTGTTAGTAACTAAGGTGTGTATGGAAAGACATGAAAGCATCAAATAGACAACCTAAAAAGCAAGACTAAATGCATGAAATCAAACACACTTTGCACATATGCACCCTTAGGGTAATCTCACTTGTTGCCTATCAGAAAAATAGTCATGCCCTCGAACATGGGCGTTTTAGCAAAGACTCTCGATAAAAGATCGTAGTCCCTCGATGACCCTTGATGTTGCCTTCGGTAAACGATTTAGTCCCTAAAAACGACATTGCTAAAACGTCCCATAGGTTGTCTTCTATGACTGTACAAATGTCCGACACTCATCCCTCAAACATCCAACGATGGGGCTTCTTACCAAAACAATGGTAAGATAGCAACATCTAAAGGAGAAGGAAAAGAACGTCTAAGACCTTTTGATTAGGTAGATTCGCTCCTTGTTACTCGCTTGCTCACATCAAAAACTTTTTTATACACCAACACTCTCATTTTAAAACATTTTCAAAAGATAACACTTTGTACGCGTTCTTATAAAGACGAGAACCATTATAAAGACACCTTTCCAAAATCATTTTCAAAAACACGTCCCACAAACACCTCTTTGAACTATTTTCAAAACAACACTTTGTACGCATTCTTATAGAAACGAGAATCATTACAAAGTCACACTTTCAAAATACTTTCAAAACCCACACCACAAGCACATTTCAAAACAAAAGCAAGTGATCTAGCAAGTAGCTAAGAGCCCATGGAAAACCATGGATGAAAAGGGTGTTAATACCTTCCTGTTGTACCCCAATTTTTGACCTAAGATCCCATTTTTATTTTTGCATTTTTTAAGATAAGTCAAGGTCACGAAATATGGTCGGTTTTAACCTCTCACCTTCGAGCTTTGACTATGTGAAGATTGTCAAGTGTTTTGAACATTTTTAGCCTATGTATCACTAATTTCCAATCGCATACAAAGGTGTATGTTCATGTTTTCTTTTGTTTCATGTGCAGAGACAGGTCTGAATCAAGAGCATCAGGTGTCGCGCCTCAATTAAGGTTTTGAGTCTCCCAAGCCAGAAGTACGGTTGATTGTGGATTCTCGAAGACTGATTCATCAAGGCACACCGTTGCACCCTTAATTTCGGCCCTAATTTTTTCAGTCGCACATTCATACCATATTTTGTCATTTGGTCACAATCATTAGTAAATATCTTCATTCATCATATTTTGCATCATTAGTCGTATTTAAGTTGACCAGAAAAGTCAGTTTAAATCAAAGTTTGCATCGTCTTTCAGTTGTAAAATACCCGACATTTCACTTCATTCATTTTGATCTCTTTACTCGTTTATTGCATTGCTCCAAGTTGTTTATATGTCGATAATAAAAATATTTTGGTTTTATAGACAAACTGTTAAAAGCGATTCAACAATGTACGAAAAATTAGCGAGAAAAATATTTCAAGTTTTCACCTTTTACCGATCATTTTATGAATCTGCATCTCGCATAGATTACGACGGTATGCTCGCTTTATTTTTTCGATACAGTTTGAAGTCTCGTTTTTTAACCGTAAAACGTCTGTTTAGCCTGGTACTTTCATTATCATTTTATTCCTATTTTTACTCTTTTTTAATATTTTTTTCTTTAATCTTTGTGACATGTAGAGTATTTTAACGTGTTCATTTTATTTTTTCGGATAATGTTTCGTCCGTTCTTTTTATCGTTTTCGATCACTTTGGGTCTTTATTTTTTATTCATAGAATATTCAAAAAAATCATTTTAAATTGAGTTATATTTTATAATTTCAGGTTTTTATTTTATTTTTATCATTTAAGGGTGTTTTTGTCATAAAAAATATTAAATGCACTATACTTGATTTTTATTGGTTGTTGACAAAATTTGAGGATTAATGCGTATTGAATAATTTTGAACGGTTGTGATTAATTTTGAAATCAAATTCTGTTTTTCATTTTTCTATATAAAGCTTATTTTACTCTTTGGAACAGGACACTGATCTCTTTCTCTACTCCATAAAACAAAAACAAAAAAAGCAACACAGTACTCCTCTCTTTTTCAGCATATCATCATTTCCTCTCTTTAACTCTCTTCCTCCCGCCTGCATACATCCAGCACCATCAATTCACTCTATCCCCAAACTTCCTTCAACCCACCCTCTATTCTGCATATAATCCCTCCTTCATCGAATTCATCCGCAAGCTGCAAACCACTTCCTCTCTCCGCCACAGCATCACACAAACTCTCATCAACATACTACCTTCTGTCTCCGCTAGCTACCCTCTCCATTTCCGTAATCCCAATCTCTCTCCACTGTTAACGCGACCTCCTTCAACCTCTAAAACAACTATCCACACTCCCAACTTTCATCTTCGCTCACACTCCCAATCATCTTCATCATATCTATTCCCCTGTTCATCACATAGACACACAATCAACAACCTTCAGACCACCTCATCACACGAATCCCCCCGTCTCTGTTTCATGAAACAACACCATCATGAATCACCCTTTCCACTTCCATCTGCTACCTCCCCAACCTCATCTCTTCCATCAACGCACAAACCTTTCCTCTCATCTTTCCTTGATAAAAAATTCCTGTTTTGAATCAAACAGATTCTAAACCTCGAGCCGCTATTCACCGTCGCATCGCTGTCGTAAAGTCATCTAATCTGCACCACGAAGTCGCCATTTTCGTCTTGGACCGCCGGTAACAGAATCTCAAAAACCAACTCCTTCAATCACCATGTTGAAGTTCAATCCATGCAGCAACAGAACCCTAATCTATCTCAGATCCTTAACTTCCCCACAACCATCACCATTCTCCCTGCATTTCTCCACCAACACTTCCGATTCAACCCCATTCGAAGTTTCCTACCTCATCCACAATTTCGATTTCTACCCACAATCTGCTTCCAAACTCTGCTCCACCTACCGTCTCGGTTTCAAAACCACCCAAAACCCTGACTCCGTTCTCAACTTCTTCAGAAACCACAATTTCTCTAATTCCCAATTACGCAACATGATTGCCAAGGCACCGTGGCTACTTTCCTGCAACCTCTCCAAAAGGTTATCGCCAAAGTTTGAATTTTTTCTCTCCAAAGCTCACAATCCGTCTTTCTTTGGAGACAGCAATGTGCCACAAAATATCAGAATGCTCATTGAGAATGGAGTAGCTGATGCAAACATTGCGAGAATTCTTCGGATCAGGACTCGGACATTCCAGGTGCGTGACATGGTGAGTTTATTGGAGGAATTAAAGGGTTTGGGGTTTAATCCTTCGAAAACAACTTTTGGTGTAGCTATGATTGCGAAAACATCGGTAACCAAAACCACGTGGAAGGAGAAAGTTGATGCCTTTAACAATTTGGGTTGGTCTCATGAAAATGTCATTCAAGCATTTAAAAGGCAACCTCCTGTATACTTCCATCCGTAAACAACCCATCACCATACTCACTGTCATCCCTTATAAAATCACTTCTCCAATATTTATTCCTTTTCGATCTTTACAGCACAGCCTTTGCTCACGCGATACTCCCACTTCATCGCGAGACAACCTCACGAAACCTCCCTCTGTCGCGTTTTCACCTCACCACCAGTTTTACCTCACTGTGAACCACCCGTCATCCTTCAACACAAAACCATAACACTCCATTCTATGGTGACTATTATTTATTATTCTATTTTACTTTTAGTTTTTTTATTTAGAAAATTTTGTTAAGTGTTATTTCAAGTAAATTGGGCTTGACACTTACTTTGGTCTCTAAGCCCAATTGTTATTTCTTATATACCCCATTTAAATTTTGCATTCATATTTTGTTCTTTTTGTTTTTTTTATTTTAATTTAGTATTTGATAAATATTAAAAATCTAAGTAGAATCTACTTGTAAATAAATTCAAGTTGTGTTGCTATTTTCATGATTGTGTTGTGATTTCGAACTTTGAATTCGATTTTATTTTTGAATGCATTTGAACACAAATATTTTGGGCGACCTGTTAGAGTCGATTCCTACATGAATCTACTCTAAGATTACTTAACAAAGTGCAATATTTAGTTGCTTTCGATTCACTTCATTTCGGTCCCGTAGCTTATTCTTGCGCCCTATATGAGACTTTAGGTAGTTTCTATGTGCTATTGGTTTTGTTTGTGTGTTTCATCTGATGCAGGGATTCTTATCTGACACCGTGAGCTTTATACATCGCCTTTGCGCTTTATCTGATTCCTCTCCTGACACGCTTTTCTCGTATGTGATTTATTTTCGCTTGATGCGCTTTATCTGATGCTTGGAGTATTATCTCACATCAGGTTTTTTTGATGCTGTCGGCTTGTGATTTATTTTCACCTAAGGTTTGGTATACTCTTAGCTTACTTATCTATCTATGGCTTTAAATCCAAGGGAAAGAATTAATTTGTTGACTTCATGTCATCGAGTATCTAATACGATTATGTGAAATCCCTTCATACCTTTTTTTTCGTTTTATTAATCTTAAGACGAATCTCCTACAAATCAATTTCAAACATACCTCTTTTTAAGACAAAACTTCGACATTAGGTTATCACATCTTCAAAATCTCGCGAACACTTATTTTTAGCCAAACGAACCATTGTAATCAAACAAACAATTTTAACCAAAAACAGATATTTCAAAAGGTTCCTGCGGAGTACCGCAGATGCATTGGGTGCTAGTACCTTCCCATTGTATAACCAACCCCCGTACTCTCGATCTCTTTTAAAAACGCATTGTATTTTCATTACTTTTAAATATTAATTTACATTGCATACTTTAGGGTTTTATTTCGCTCTTTTCCCTTTTCCCTTGGAAATAATAAAGCGCGGTGGCGACTCTTGCTTTTTGTGAGTCAAGTTAATTAATAGCTTGATCTCCGATTTTCACCGCTACACTTCCCTTTTCATAATCTACCCCCAAAACTCAAGAAAACATCTCTAAAGGTCTTTCCTGTGCTTTTTCACCTTTCCTTATTAGATAAAAGAAAAGTCGGTGGCGACTCTTGCTAAACCGCAACATTTACGAATACAAACGCAAAACAACCAAGTCAGTTCTCCCAACGTATCACAGAACTGGCGACTCTGCTGGGGAAAATACTTAAAAGTGGGGTTACCTTAGGGTTAGATCACATTTAATTGCCTTCATTTCTTTGAATTGCTTGCTTTACATTATTGGTTCCTTGTTTGGGCTTGCTTTGATCCTCCACCCGGATCTGGGACACCTCTTTAGGTAAATAGCAATAGATTATGGAAACTGTATGGCATAGACTGATATGGTTGAAACAATGGCTATGTTAGTGTGACGCATTTGTGGGTACCAATATCCCTCGTGGTGAATCGAGGAGAATACGATGCCGCTGCGTGTCGTCATAAAGCACTAATTGACTTTAGAACCCTAATTGAATAAACTTGGCCATTAGGATATAGTGAGATAATTAGTTTCGGTGTAGAGCTGAAAATTGGTTGATACTCGATACTACACTCATTGAGGCTAGACTTTTGGGATATCTCGGCCGCAGGAAAAGATTAATTGTGCTGAGACAATGCCTAAGAGAAAGGTCGGTGATATTGAGATCCTTTAGAACCCGATCACTATTACTAGGACAGGTTGAGCCAACTAAACTTCAAGAGGGTACTTAACTATAAAACCTCATGCAAGCCTAAAACATAGGGATTTGTTTGTTTGTGTGTATGTATTTACTTATACATAAACATCATAAACATCATAAGCATCATACGCATGCTCACTAACCATTTCAAGGATTTAGAAATTTATATTTGTTTTTGTTTTATAGGTCATGGATTCCGTCCGAAGAAACACCATCTGAATCAGCTTTGTAAAAGCACACCCTCAACTTCAAGAGTTAGCCTCAAGAGTGCCCGGGGGTTCTCCTTTTACCAAGAAATACGGTCTACTCCTCAGTTTTGCTACATCCAGTTTCCAAGAAGAGATGATGTGTGTGTTGTTCCAATTCTTTGATCTCGTACAACATTGTTTCACTTTCCCGGACTACCAGTTAGTACCTACACTGGAAGAGTTTTCTCTACTCTTAGGGGTTCCCGTGCTTGATCAGATACCGTGCACCAATCTAGAAGTGATTCCAAAGCCTGAAATCATCGCCGAAGCTTTGCATATGAAGAGAGCCGACATCATAGCCAATTGGGAGACAAGAAGCGTGGTTAAAGGTTTCCTAGCCAAGTTCTTATTGGAGAAGGCTCGTCCATTCTGGGATGACATGGATTTCAAAGCTTTCGAAGACATCCTGGCTCTTCTCATTTATGGTTTTGTTCTGTTCCCTAACTCGTATCAATTCATAGATGTTAATGCCATCAAAATTCTTCTCTCTCGCAATTTTGTACCTACCTTACCGGGAGACATCTTGCATTGTCTTCATACCCGCGCCATGAAGAAGAGAGGTACTTTTTTGTGTTTTATTCCCCTACTCACTACACCTACCTCAATCAGCATTGAAGAACGAGCAAAGACTGGCATGGTCTCAAAGGATGATGTCCCTCACCCATACTGACATCCGTTGGTGTTCAAGATACTTGGAAGACGTCTCTATCATTGACCGCTGTGGGGAATTCCCTAACGTCCCTTACTTGGTATTAGGGGAGGTATCACCTACAATCCCTGCTTAGCTCTTCGACAGTTTGGGTATGCCCGAAGAGACGGTCCTCATGAGATGCTCATTCAAGGTCTGGTGTTCGACTATGACCAAGAAGACCAAGGTTATCTCCAGAGATTTACACGAGCTTGGAGAATGGTGAACAAGGTGGACAGTAGGACTCTAGGACACAAGAACTCTATCCCTCTCGAGCCTTATCTTAGGTGGGTACGGGCTCGTGTTCAAAGTCTCCTAATGCCTTACCCTTCCATGCTCCCTGTTATCATAGAGCCTGTTGTTGAAGGAGACGTCCCATACACTGTCCATCATCCTGACATGCCTACCTCTCTCGAAGGCTTACAGAAAGCTTGGGTTCAGTTGAAGGAAGAGAAAGACACCTTTGAAACCCAATTTTACGCCAGTGAGAAGAAAGTTCTGGAACTCACCAAACTGCTTCATGAAGAGCGGAATCTGAACGCCTACATCGTTCCAAAGAGGATGCGTTCGACCTTTCTGTCTTAGGAGTTTTTTTTGTATTTTGTTTCTTTCATTGTAAGCCCAAAGAGGAATTATGTACTCAAACTTGGATTTAATATAACGTGTGTTCCTTTCGGTTTAAACAAATTTAAATCTCTAATTTCCTTGAAATCATTTGCATATTGCATCTTCATTCATCATAATATCATACAGGTTTCTTACAACAGGTCTCCTTATCCTTCTACTGTTTATTTCAGTGAGATGGATATTGAACAGACATTGAAAGATCTTCAGGCGCAGAACGTCCAGTTTCAACAAATGCTCTTGACTCTGACAAAAGGACAAGAGGAGTTGAAGACTCTACTGGCCGAAGAGAAGAAGAAGAAATCAAAGAAACCAACCGGTATTGTGATCATGGGAAGAAGGTTCAAAGGACAAGCCAGACGGACTTTGGACATTGCAACATCATCGGGTGAAGGAGATAATCAAGAAGACAGAACGAAGGAAGTGAAAAATAACCTAGCATCCGAAGAAGAGGAAGAATCTGATTACTCTATGGAACAATATCCTCCTGTTGATAATAAATACAAGGAGCTAGAGGATCGTTTGAATGCTATGGAGGTCCAGAGGGTACCTGGACTAGATTTTGAAGAGTTAGGACTTGTCTCAGGGGTTGTCATCCCACAGAAATTTAAGCTCCCCACTTTCTCTAAATATGACGGTGTCTCTTTCCCGAAGCTGCATTTAAGGTCATAAGTCAGAAAGATTCAACCCCATACGGCTGATAAGAATTTGTGGGTGCATTTCTTCCAAGAGAGATTGTCAGGGACGCAGTTGGATTAGTTCTATCAATTGGAAAGGACCAATATTTACAATTGGGAAGATTTGGCTGCCGCCTTCTACAAACAATACTAGTATAATGTTGACTTAGCTCCAACTCTGACACAATTGCAAAGCATGTCTATGAGTGCAGGTGAAGGTTTCAAAACCTATGCTCAGAAATGGAGGGACCTCGCAGAAAGAGTCCAACCCCCTCTATCTGATAGAGAATTAGTGGATATGTTCCTAGGCACATTATCAGGTCCATTCTTCAACCACCTGATCAGAAGTTCCTCAACTGGATTTACTGAACTAATCATGACCGCTGAGCGGGTCGAAGCCGGTATAAAAAGTGGCAAAATTCAAAGATATGCATCCTCGAGCACAATGAAGAAACCCTTCACTGGTAAGAAGGAGGCCAGTGCGATTTATAACCCGAGAGATTAGAGCAGAGCGGGATACCGTCCAACGGTAAATGCTGTAATAATACCTAGGCCTGCGGCTACCCCACAACGCAACAATCAG